TTTATAATTTATAATTATTATTAATTAAATATACATTTTAATTTATTATATTTATATTAAAGTATGTATGTAAAAGAAATATTTAATCATTTTTTTATTTATAATATTATTATTATTATTATTATTATAACACTCGTATTCAAATATTTGAATATTTATAACATTATTATTATAACATTGTATTCAAACATTTGAGTATATATATAAGTTAATTCATTTTTAAGTTGTCATTTAAAAATATGAAATATATAGTTTATAAGGAAATATTTAATAAGTTAATTCTTATTCAATTAGTTCGAAGTAATAAAAATTTAAATTATCAAATCCTTTAAAATACAATTATTTTATTAAGATAAAATTTGATATATGATAAATAAGAATAATAAGATAAAAAAATATGACATAATAAAACCTAATAAATATAAATTATAAATAAAATAATATTAGTTACTACTAAGATTTATGTAAAATATTTAGAAAAAGATAAAGAATAAAAAAATTAACTTTGTGTTTATCAAATTGGTTGAAAAGATTGAAAAACAAAATAACAAATTGATGGGAGAGATTAAGGAAATGTGAAAAACTGAAAGGTAAGAGAAAAAATAATGTAATAAATTAATTGATATAAAAGATTAAAAAAATTAAAAAGTGGGTAGAAGAAAATAATTTTGGTGAAATATAAAAAAATGACTTTATATGTAATAGAAAAAGAAAAGGAAATACTTTTAAAATATTAATATTTTAAAATTTAAATTTAAATATAAAGTCGGGCGGGGACAGGGACAGGGTCGGGGTGGGGATTGCATTACCCATCCCCGCCCGACTTTTAAAGCGGGAATACCCGAACCCGTCCCTGGTCAACTCGGGTTTTCCCAGTCAAACTCGGGCGAGAGCGGGTTGGTCCCTACGGGACGAGTTTAATTGTCATCCCTACTATTGAGTTGTAATTAGATGAATTATTGTAATGTGCTTGAGAGTTATTTTGTGTATTTTAAAAAGTTTAAATAGTGGCTTAACAATATGAAAATTCAAGTTATATTTGTTTATTTGAGAAGTCTAAGTAATGACTTAACAGTGTGAAAAATCTAAAATTTGTTTGGTCATTTGAAAAGTCTAAACAATGACTTAAGAATGTAAAAATCAAAGTTATAGTCATTTATTCATACTTTATTGGGAATGGGTACCATTTATGAAATATAGTCTCTATAGTCTTTTATCTTAACCTTAAAAATTTTAGAATAAATATATTTCATCTAAGTAATCTATATGAATGAGATATTCTATTGCGAATCATTTATACTTTGTTTTAAGGTATATCTATGTTATAATAAGGTGAATTGTTTTGGTTTGATATGTATACGAGTTACTTGAGAAATATATGTAATAACGAAATCTATGTAATAACTTTAAGTGGAATAAAGAATTACTATGATTAACAATTTTATTCTAAATAATTCATATTATTTTGTTCTATTTGAGAGTCGAGAGTAAGTTGTGATAATTTTCTTTTATATAATTTGATCTATTTCCTTTTATATTACTTATGTGAGTACTTTGTATAATAACATCACATACATTTAAATATATAAACATTAGTGTATTTGAGTCACAAATTTATGATTGAGAATATATCGATGAGTTTTAAGGTATTTAAATTTACCAATCTTTATATATATATATATATATATATATATATATATATATATATATATATATATATATATATATATATAAAGAGATTGTGAAATTTAAGTTTCTTTTTATTTTATAAGATGTATTGATGACCATGTGATATTGTAGCTTTGTTTTGAATAATTATTTTAGATTATTATAATTTTTATTACTACGAACTTATTAATATGTTTAAAAGTATTTTATTTTAAAATTTATATTATTTATATAAATTTTATTTAAGAAAATTATACATATCAATTTCTTTATCTTTTATTTTTTTAAAATTTTACTATTTATTAAAAAATATTTTAAAGATAGAAGAATGTCACAAAATTAATTCAAAATCTAAAAGTAATAAGATCATTTAAATATAATAAGTTCAAAAATAATTTTATTCTAAATAAGAACCAAATCATCCAATGAATCCTAAAATTAATTTCCCTATAATTATGTCATCCATAAATATAAGATATTAGTTAGGTATAATTAGGTGACTATCTATATCAATGTGTCATTCTAAATTTATGAAGTGCTGAAAATTTATTTAATCCAAATTATCAACAATAGGTAATTTAGGTTATAATATATATATATATATATATATATATATATATATATATATATTACATAAAAATTATTTAAGATGCGTCTATTATTGCATTAATATTATTTTGTTGAGTTCATGATTTTACCGAAATATTATTGAATTTTTACGTTAATAATTTTTTGGTTTTGATTTATAGTTTGACTAATTATTTGAAGCTGAAAATTATACTTTGTGAAGGATGTACAATAATAAATCATATTAGTTATATAAAATGATTTTTAAATAAAATCATCCTACCGTAAGAGTCTCTTGATTATGCATTTGAATATGCTCATGTTAATATCATCAACTTCAGTGTCAATACTTATCTACTTGCTATTGGGCCAATAGGATCGACCGTACTATTTAAAAGCTTGTAATTTTGGGACGTTACATCCTACAATTTCTTGAATTCTTCTGTTACCAAAGAAAATCACAGAAAATGGGTACAGATTACAATTATGACAAAGAATGTAGTTAGTTTGCTGATTACCCGAAACATGTTTTGCTGCCACAACTCAAGCATTAGATGGCAAGGAAAATCATGGAACATTGCTTCAACCCTACTCTACGCTTACCTTAGTCTTAGAATCATCCAGTGACATAATGCTCACGACAATTTGTGTAACTAACCAAGTTTGAAATGAAATTTTGTTTGGATGAGCTTCAATTATTCTAAGGTGGGATGTTGACAAGTTCCTTTTGTTTCTCTTTTTCCGATTCCTTGAGGCCACATTCTTCTTCTTCTCATCTTCTTTCTCTGCTTTTGGATTTGAGATTTCCCTGATGGGTCCATTAAAAGAATAATAATTTATGAGGCAACTTTGTTAAGTGACTTTTGATTCACCGGACCTTCTCCTACTGATCTGATAAAAATTCCAGGGTCCTCCTTATGCATCATCCTGGAATCTCCTTTACCTGTTATGGAATATATTAAAGTGTGAAAGGAACTCAAGTACATGAGTATGTTAAAGAGAAAGGTACTACAACAATAACTCTTCCTTCTTTTCTTGTTTTTCAAACATTTGGGCCACACACCACAAATAATAATAAATATTCCTTTCTTTGAATATGAACAAAGCCTGTCACTAAGCAATTGCATTTCCAGACACAAGTAGCATATGCTTGCAGATGAAGAATCAACCTCCCCACCCCCGTGCTGTTGCTGGACCCACCAACTTATCTAACCATCAAACCATCGTATTGCCATGTTTTGACTTCCATTTCACTAGCAGTAGAATTTTGGACTGTCAAATTATGTAAATTTTACCTCTCTACTATTGCTATGAATAATAATTTTGTAGCTCTTTGGATGGCTCTGCAATAAAAATAAAAGTAAAAAAATATTATAGAGGTTCAACTATGGGGAATTATTGAGCAGTTCTGGCAGAGTAGTTGGGAATCCATGGTGCTGAATTGGCAGGGTTTTTAAGAACCAATCATTGGATTTTGATTCTAGTGATCAAACTCTAGACCGCAACCCAAGAAATTTGAGGAGTGACTTGATCGAATTGGCTTTTAAAAGATTTGTTGTTGGCCATTATAGTCTTCCTTTTTCTTTTTGGTGAAAATTTCTTTTCTCCTCTTCAGCTTGATATAGATGATACCATTAAAGCAAATATTCTCTTTGGAATAATTTCTTTATGAGACTTTATCCCGAGTGAGTCCTGTAGATTGCTTTCGTAGTGAAAGAAAGTGCATGGTCACATATTCAGTGTGTTCTTAAGAAAGATCTCATTTTAACTGCTAAGTTATTACTTTCACATCAAAATTCATTAAAACTATAGGGTTGGTGCTTAGTTAAAATAGGGTTCCTTTATGAACTTTGGGGTTGAAATTATTTTGGTAGGATAATATAAGAAATTACGAACTGTTGAACGTCACGAACAGACACATCTGATCAGTGTCGTTTTGATAAGAGGTGTGCGACATTATCTCTTGACACGGTTGATTACTTCTCTTTCTTCTAGTGTGTTTTCTTTATAAAGAACACGGACGCAATGGGTCCATAAATCCAATCCTAGATTCTTTGATTCCTCCATCCCTACAAGGAACAAAAAGAATCTGCCAATCGCATTACACAACCTTCTCATAAAAGAAAAACCAAAATTAAAGTTGTTAAAAAGGGAAAATGAAATTTGAAAGAAAGATTGATTAATTTAGTTTTCACTTTCAATCATCACAAGCAAGCAAAGAAATATCCATAATAGCATTCCCACGTAATTTTCTATTACTATTTTTTACCTGAAAGCTTCTCACAGCATTAAGAAAGTTGCACCCATTATTCATCATGGTGGGGCCTATGCAGTTCCTTAGGGAATCAATCTTATGGAGAGAGTTAAGTGGGAAAACAGCAAGATAAAAACAAACCATACACTTTTCCTCTTTTCTCTCCTTTTAAGACTCAAAATTGAGCTGTTTTCCTTTCTTTGTTTTTGCTGAATCAGAGATTCTCTCCACCCTTTTCAAGTCAAAGAAGGAAGGGTAGGGAGGAAAATTAAAAAAAAGAAAAGTGGGTATGAAATGGGATGAGATGAGAGAGGAAGACCCTCAGCTTATGGCATATATTCCGCCAACATATCCCCACTTATGCTTCCTTATATGGGAGTGAGATCATACAACATCTCAACTACTACCAATTTATAAAGAGAACTATAGTCTATAGCTGCCACACATTGACGCATAGCTTAAAGCATCAAAAGTATACTTATGCTTCAGTAACACTACCATAAAAAGCAAAATGGATCTGCAAAATGTGCAAAATCAAAGCATGCGTTTGGTTCTCTCCACTGATGCCAAGCCTAGGCTGAAATGGACTCCTGAGCTTCACCAACGGTTCACTGAGGCTATTAATCAACTAGGAGGTGCAGAAAGTGAGTACAATACACACTTCATGACCTTTACTATTTTCATATTAGACTTTATATTATACCTTGGCTAGTGTATTAGTTATTTACCCTATGACATGTGGCAGAGGCAACTCCAAAGAGCCTTATGAGAGTGATGGGGATTCCAGGACTCACTTTGTACCACCTCAAGAGCCATTTACAGGTATTTCCCATTTTGGAATGATCGTATCATTATTTGTTTCGTTCACCGAATCCAAAAATTCATGAGTTGAGCTTGTTTGTGTTTTGGTCGCAGAAATATAGGCTTGGGAAAAGCCAATCGCTAGAAACCTGCTCTGACAACAAGCAACAAGGTGACTTATAGTATGTTTGATTTAGCAGTAATGGCCTGATTAACACTTCTCTCATTTGGCTTTGGCTTATCCTTGATGCTCTGTATTGATGCAGGTTGCAGTGAAATCCAAAGAACTGATAGTCATTGCAGCAAGGCAACCAGTACTGGGACCCAGAATCAGATGAATGAGTAATACTTATAAACTGAACAAATATTTGGATGCCTTTCATTGATGTTGCATTTGAAAAGTTATGCCTAGAATTTTCGTTGACCAAATGCTGTGTTTAACAGAAGCTTGGAGATAGCTGAGGCTCTTCAAATGCAAATGGAAGTACAGAGGAAACTTTATGAACAAATTGAGGTAGAATGAGCACATAATATTATATAAATTTTATCATCTCTAAATTCTAGCTTTTGCAAAAGGTAATATTACCTGGTTTGGATCATACTTTTAGGTCCAAAGACATTTGCAGCTTCGAATTGAGGCTCAAGGGAAGTACTTACGATCAGTACTATCAAAGGCACATGAAACACTTGCAAGATACAATTCTTCCACAACGGGCATAGAACTTGCAAAATCTGAACTTTCTCAGTTAGTGTCAATAATTAACAATGCCTGTCCGAACTCTCCCATTTCAGAACTGACAGAAACAAGAGGGCTCAGTTTGAACTGTGGAGAGAGGAAACAAGACAGAGGAACCATGTGCTCACTTGAAAGTTCTTTGACATCATCTGAAAGCTCTGGGAGAACAGAAGAAGGACAACCACTGGATGAGGCAGAGAAGCCTCAAAAGACTACTGTTATTTCAGTTGAATTGCCATCGCTGGAGATTCACTCAGAAGGTACAACATTCAAGGGAGATACAAATGAAGGCAGAAAGAGAAGTGCAGCAACTGATTCTAATGGTTGCTGTGATGATCAACCTTCTGGAAAAAGATGTGGCAACAAGCTGAGGAAATGTGAACTGTCAGAAATGCTTGACTTGAACAGCCAATATCAGAGAGACATTGACTCAAGTGTGAAAGAAATAGATTTAAATTGCAGTTCAAGCTTTTGGGAACAATAAAGAAGTTTCCAGTTATATTAAACATATGCAACAAAAATCATGCTCAGAAGAAAATATGTTAATAAACTATGTATATTTTTATAATGAAAAAAAATAAAAAAAGTATAATACACATATGGCACATCTCTCTCAACCTCTCATTATTCTCTTAATCTTGTTGCTGATATTGGACCACAGTTTAACAAATTTCTACTGCTAGAAACCCACTGGTTTTATTATTCTTCTTTTGTAGCTTCTCAAGACCCTACTAGAGTTTCTATAATAATACCAAAGCAGGCAAGTTTCTAATGTGAACCTGTTTTTACCAACATGTATCTTAGAGACTGATGGGTAGGACATATTAGTCAAAAATAACTTTTATGTCTAAAAGCTATGTTTTTTTTTATTAGGATATTTTTTCTTGAATTGATCGAGATGTTGTCTTTTTTTTTTTTTTAATATTTTATTATTATTATTATTTAATGAGAAAGTAAGATAAATTATTAAGACAATTATAAAATGATATGGGAGTAACATTAGAGTTCTAATTTATAAATATAAATATAGTACGTTTATTCTCCAAATTTCTAATTTATTTTTATTCTTCTCTTTATGGAAATCAAAACATGGTTACCATCTCTAATTTATAATCTTTGTTATTTTCGTTCAAATGAGAATTTATCACTGATGTTATAGTGTGCTCTATTCATATATATATATATATATATATATATATATATATATATATATATTTTGCTTGGAACCATGAAATTATCTCTTTTTTCAAGGAACAAATTTAAGTTTGTGGATAAAAATTTGAACCATAATCATTTTTTACACCTTTATGGAGATGAGAGATGTGTTACATCCCGATGGTAGGATGGCTACACCGTTTTTTGATAGAAGTTTTTTACACTCTATGGATAAACCAAATTGTTCTATTTTGAAAAATGATGCCACAATAACATTTTAAATTACCAAACTTAAATCTGGGAGTTAGAAAGTTTTAGGCCTCTTTCTAGCCGCACATGTGTTATTGCTTGATTGTTGTGGAGCACTAAATCAAATTAAAAAATATATAGAGATGAAGATTAGGTAATAGGGTGTCTAAATTAAATGTTTTTATCTATAGCGCTTATTTCATGTGTTTGAAACAAATTATCTGAAAAACTCTCCTTAACTCTTTAACTATATATTTTATAAGTATTTGAAGAGTTAAAAATTAATGCAATTTATATTGAATATAGTATAAAAATCAATAGATTCCAGCACAAAGTCTAAGCGCTATAAACGTTGAGCAGAATTGGGACAATATTGATCAGACCCACATAAGCTAAACAAAAATGTTGAGCGGTCTGAAAAGCGTTAAGCGCTAAATAATTCTCCTAAGTTTATTTGCGATAAAAAGGTCTGACTCCTAGAAGGCAAAAATGTTAAGCGGACTATAGAGGCATCGAACAAATTGAAGTACTTAGTGTAAAAAGATATCAATATGTTTAGCGAATTTCACATTATTGAAAGGATGATTAAAAATGTTACGAATTTTGAAGAATTGAAGAAAAAAAAGAACTAATAAGATGGAGAAAACGGAGTGCGAATTTGAAGAATTCAGTGTCTAAAAACAAAGACTGACCAGATTAGAGTTCATCTTCTTGTATAATTAGGATTTCTACTTCTCATCATGTATAGTTAATTCCATTTACGTTGGATTGGATTTAATTTGTTAACTCTTCTATAATTTTATTTATATATATATATATATATATATATATATATATATATATATATATATATATATATATATATATATGAATTCTTTTTTCTTGTTCTTTATTTGGTTCTATTTTTAATGTTTAGATTTAGAGGAATTTAATTTCATGATTTAGATATAAACTTATATTGGGAAATGATTTTTGTTTATGACTTGATCTAAATCAATCTTTAAACTTTACTATTGGAACAAAGTTAAGGTTATTAATGTACAAAAGTTCTTATGTTTAATACAAGAGTTTTAATCACTTTATTAAGAAATGGATTGATTGTTTCATATTCTTAGAATTTTCAATATAAAGGAATTAGAACGAGCTACTCGACTTGAAGCTAACATATAAATTCATATATGTATAAATAATAGGTTGTATCGGGTTTATAAGTGAAATTCAATTTAACAGTTTATCTCATTGTGTTTTTTTTAATATAACAAAATTCTTTGTTGTCAATATATTTTACACAACTATTTCACTACTCAAAGTTTTAACTGAATGAAAAATAGAATTATATGATATCTATCAAGTCCTTATGGATATCATAATCCCTTTTACAATTGTATTACAATGAACAATATTCACATTGTTAAATATTAGATTTTGATATTTAACCTGCAACTACCTCTCACAAAAGTGTTTTTACTTATTGTTATTGAAAATGACAAATGAACATATAAGTTTTTGTTGCTTCAATATTATTCCTTTTTTATATTGTCAATGTATTTTTATAACATTATTGGATAATTTTCTAGACTTAGATTATATTAATGAAAATTGAAGATGAAATCAAAGAAAATATTATAAATTATTGTCCATGTTCATTTCTTGACAAAACTTAAGACATTAAGGAAAGACAATGGAATTGAGTATACATGAGTTCTTTTCAAGTAGATGGATCTGCATAAACATGGTGTGTGAAGACACCTAAATAAAATGGGATAATCTACTGAAAACACCAATGCACATTAAACATAACAAAAAATCTTAAATTTCAAGGCTACTTACCTAAGTTTTTGGAATTCCACTACATGTTGTTTATTTGATTAATTGATTGTCAATCCTTTTAATTAAAAACATAATTCCTTATAAGTTAAAAATATATAACAGATCGCCTTCCTTTATCCACCAAAGAGTTTTTTATTACTTGACATATGCATCCACCTTGGAAGTACACAAGACAAAATTTAACTTAAAAAACTGAAAGTTATATGTTCATACGATACAAATCATGGACAAGGTTATATTCTTAATGATTTATAATCTATAAAAGTTTTCATTATTAGGAATGTAAATTTTTATGATATAAATTTATTTATTTCTTGTCATTTTTATTTCAAAAATTTATTTACAAAAAATATTTACAATTTTTTAATAAAAAATTATTCACAAAAATAGTTGTTAATTTCTTGCAAAATATATTTATAAGAAATAGTTAGAATTTTTTTGCAAACAATTACTTATAAAAAAATTCTACAAAATTTATTGTAAATATACAAAAAAAATTACAAGAAAATTAGTAAAAATTTAAATTTGGAAAATAAAATAAATTATTCATATTTATTATTTTTAAATAATTAAAATAATTTATTTAATAAAATATTTTTAACAAAATAAAACTCACACGGAAAACACACATTAGAGCTGAGCTTCATTTAAAAGAAAAAAGGGTCATAGGGTTTCTCTTCAGTTAACCAAAACCACTAGAGCTTCATTTTTTTTAAAAAGGGTCACAAGTTTCTCTGCTATGAACCAACACCATCTGCAGCGGCGAACAGTGAGCGACGAACCAGAAAGTATGAAGAAATACCTAGAATGATCAAAATATTTCGAAAATTTTTAGGATCTAATTCTCTTCTTCATGGAGAGAAACTCTTAAAGTTGCTCTCCCATAACAAATTCACTGAAAACCTACATTGTTTTGCCAGATCTAACCTCCATCTTCATTGTGTTTGCTCAGTAATTTTGGAAGAAGGAGTGAGAGACTCTTGACACTGCAATTGAAATGAATTTTGAATTCAACTCTCACATTGTTGTTAAAATCTCACTCCACCACCTCTATAAAGGTCATCACTAGCAGGTATTATGACAGTTGCATCTAACAAACATACAAAAAAAGAGTAGAACACGTAAATAGTCTGTGGAGCTTTTCCTTGCATGAGTATATATATTAAAGTGCTTTAAAACATTAAAATTATTGGTTTTATTATCCATAACCCTTTAGACATATTCCTAAAGAGACTAATGTTGTTTGTTGACGAGTGACGGATCTTGACCATTGATCTTGGAGGGTCAAATAATATATTATTAATAAATAATAAATAAATATAAAAGGAAGAAAGAAGATGAAAGGGTAAAAGGATAAAATTGTATATATATATATATATATATATATATATATATATATATACTTAAATATATTAAATGATCATTAAATTTGAGGGGAACAAAATTATAAATTATATGAGAGTTACAAAACTAAGGAGAAGCTGAGAGGATAAAATTGTAAATATACAAGTAAATATATTAAATGTTCATTAAGTTTGGGGAGACCAAAATCATAAATTATATAGGAATTACAAAACTTTGGGGGGAGGGGGGGTCACGGCTCCCCTCAGCTCCCAAGAAGATCCGCCACTGTTTGTTGATGATGCTACCCACAACATACTGTTGAGAATTCAAGTGTGAGTTTAAAGTCCCATATTAGGTAGAAATGGAAAAGTTCAATAACTTATAAGTGAGAAAGACCCATAACCCAATGTCTTAAGGTTTTTGGTTGAGAGTGGTGTCATATTCTCTTATATGGTTGGCTCATGACCCATTTGTGAGAATATCCCTGTTGTTTGCCCCCTCGAAAATACTTAACAGTGGTATCAGAACTTATGGTTTGTCCGGTGACTGGCTCAGTTGAGTATAGTACTTGATACAAGTGAGAGGAGATGTTGAGAATTCAAGTGTGAGTTTAGGTAGAAATGGAAAAGTTGAATAACTTATAAGTAAGAAAGACCAATAACCCAATGCCTTAAGATTTTGGGTTGAGAGTGATGTCATATTCTCTTATATGGTTGACTCATGACCCATTTGTGAGAATTGTTTTTCCTGTAGATAAAATGTAAGAAGAAAAGTGAATGTTGTAGCCAAAAGTAGTTTGAATTCAATTTCAGAAACACCTTTACGTTGAACCATATCATTCGTCGTCAATGTCCTATGAAGAAACTTCCAAATCACTAAGGATTTAGATGGAGGAATGCATTGATT